GCAGCCGCGGCGCGCACTTGATTGTACGCACTGTATATCGGTGATAAAGATCTATATTACTAAGCCATACACAAGTTCGAGTAAATGTGAAGTAAAGTATTACGGGTACTGAGAGTGATAATATTAAAGTGAACACTCACATTGTTCATTATTCCGATAGTGTCGTGTGAAGTGAGTGAAATAAGTTATTTAGTGTTCTTTTCCCATGGTGTGTAATTTAGAACTTGTCCAGTCCTCTCACCCTGTCCGAGCAAGGTCCGTTAATACCTGAGACTGAACCTCTTCTCTGCCCATTCTGACTACCGGCGACTAACATTCACACCTGACACACTCTCCGTAAGCAAGTAACGGCTTACTGGTCTGCATATAGACTCCTGTCTCCCTAATTTCGTCATCATGTTACAGAGCAAAATCACTTGCAGGAATGCGAGACTCAACAGTCACATTGCCCACGAAATCGACTGTGCCATGTAAGTTAAGCTACAAATTAGCCAAACGCGTGACCATCTCTATGGCATAATTAATAATATTTCTTGAGGATTTCTTATAAATCTATTGTGTCATGGGTGGTCATATGTTTATGTCGTAATTCATTGTAAAGAAGAGAGGCTATTTCTTTAGTTCAAGCAGGTTCATTTGCTCAAGGTCATAACTACAAATTTCCCTCAAGAAGAAAAATTATAAAGTTATTTAAATTACCCTCTCTGCTAGAACAATGGTTAAATTAATTTCTTAATTCGAAAGGATATTACAATTTCCTCTGTTGCTTTTCACATTTTGTCAGCAATTAACTCGACTTGTGCACTTCCGAATTTTCTTATATTTGTTGCTTACGATTTAAAAAATTGAGTAGATACTACGTAACTGTGTATAACAGCTACGTACTTATTTATGTAGGTGAAGAGCCGGGATATTATAACTCCAAAACAACAATGGAAGTGTGCCTTACTGTTGTTTGAGTCGTTATTCGAGATATATTCAAATTGGAATCGATGTTACGATACGGAATTTATGTGACCAGATTCTGAATGAAGTTAGCAGCAAATGTATTATCACGTGTTTTTATTAAAATAGCGACTCTATAGTAGCTCCTCTTACTTAATGCAAATGGTTCACATGAGATAAAGTGTTAAAATTACAGCCAAAAATATTTTTATTTAGCGGTACCTAATTTATTCTATCTAGTTTTAAAAAAATAGTATACTACATAGATTATAAAGTAAAAAAAAGTAAAGCTATCCCTGTACCATGCCGTGAAGGCCCATAGGGTTGTGAGACGTTGAGGGTCCCACATTATCTAGACAATCGGCTCAATGATGGCGGTAAGGTTGTCAGCCTTACACGCCGGCCGCGATTTACTCCCCAGGAAAATTATTTAATTAATTCCTGGTACTCATTTCTGTTAGAGGCTGAGTCATCCCCAGGGCCATAGTGCGGCTGGAAGGATTAGGTCAATTGAAAAAATCCGATGACCTCATCGGGATTTGAACCCGCGATCTTCCGGTTTGTAGCATAGCCCCTCAACCAACTACGTTACCACGTGCCCCAAATAGATAGATTATACATAATTTAATTTTTTACAATTAGCATTTTTTTGTAAATGCTGAAACGGAAACTCGTAATTCTATACAAATTCACTCTTAGGTAACATCAAGTGAAGGAAACGTCATGCATCACAAAAATATGGGGTGCTCTACAGTCACGACTTGGAATGTGTTCTTCCGAAATTTAACATCGTAACTATTTTTATTCTTCACTCATTTTCTATTGATGGAAGGCTACTAATTGATAGGAAAGCAAAATGTAATTTAAATTGAAATACATCAGCAACATTTGTAGTTCCTTGTTAACATAACAATAATTGCAAGTTTCTTTTTTGTAAATGTTTCTCATCACTCCTACCCCATTCATTCATCCTTCATTCATTCATTCATTCATTCATTCATTATTAGAGGGGGTGGGTTTCCCCATGCACTTAGACCAGTTATTGGTCCATTGTGCGTCCCCCTTTAATTTCTACTGTCGCCATACGCTTCCAGTACCGGTGCTCGCTATCAGCCCTATTCTGCCAGCGAGGTCGGCCCTCTTCTAGCATTGGTACCCGATTCTTAGCCCCATTCTGCCTGCGAGGTCGGCCCTCTTCTGGCAGTGGTACCCGATACTTCCCCATCTACCGGAGGCATTGGAAACTACTTGGGCGGGAAACTTTTTTGCCTAATTTTGCTCAGAGGTTTCCTAGAGACATGAATATCTTTTACTTGTTCCCTGAATTTTCCCGCCCTTAAAAATTCCACGACCTCCGCCGGGCTTGAACCCGCGTACCTTGAGTCATGAGGTGGGAACGTTACCCCTAGACTACGGAGGCCGCTCACCCCCACTCCACACACACGCACACACACACACACACACATTTATCATGCGGTTACTATGTGTAAACAGTAAATTTGGATCGAAAAATGCATTAAGTATAATTGGAAGGTCTGTTNCATACTGCTAGTGTAAAAACAGGTAATTTCCACTTGGATTTATAAGCACATTACAGTCGATATGAAATCATTAGGTATATTAATTTATACCTATTTAATATTTTTAAATTTAATTTTATTGCAAATACTTTTGTAATGCGTTATTTGAAACGTTTTCTCCCAGAATCCCCAAGTCGCTTACAAAATACTTTTAGGAAAGAGAGAGCATTTTCATTATCGTATACTTTAGTCACTGCTTTAAATTATTCGTCAGTTTTCTGATCCTAATTTGATTGTTCTGTATGCTGTTACATTCTTACCGAACAGCTTTAAGCTTAGAAGTTCGAGAATAGAATTAAACAGTAGCAACCTTTACCATTAATTGTACATTTAAGCAAATTCTTTAGTAACATCACAGAAACGATCAGTGTCCGTCTTCGACTACGTAAGCCTTGTTTTGAACTCCACCTGCAGAGACATCTCCATTCAAGTCACACTCTACCGATCCGTTCGTGACTGTCCCGTTCTGACCTTTCTGTACGCTGCTGCAATCTGGCGGAATGCTATTCGTCACCTCTTGGCTCGCCGCTTCCAGGTTAAGCGCTTCCGTCTGTTTCGATGCAGCTTCTTTTTTGTGTTCGTGATACATCCAGCTGTAAACACAGTAAGTGAGACTGTAATTATTACAGCCTCAGCCATCACAGAAGAATAAAAAGCAATAGACTTGCTTCTGTTGCGCACACCTCTGTATGAGAGGGAGTCCATGTCGGAAAAGTGAATGTATCAGTTTGTGTGCAATTTAACCAGTGAAGTAAGCGTGTAGTGGACTGCTTTACAGGCCAGCATGTTGACAACGGAGTACATTTTCCCCCAACAAATATATTTTCTCTTTAATTGCGTACTTTCAGAGCAGATGATTTTCTTACTCGTGTATATTAATTGAATGCGTGTTATGAATTCAGTACTAAGAGCACTAACACTTTTTATGGGGAAAACCTGTTAGAAACTCCTAAATTAAGTATTTTTAGTAGTTTATATCAGTCGTTCGAAACAAGCATTTGGATGCGAAATGGGATAAATGTTCATACGCAGTTTCTTTTGAATTTCAAGGTCGGGACGCTATGCAGGGTCAATCTTCCTCCTAAATTTGAGCTGGCTTCTCGTTGCAGGATCGGATTCCACTGCTGTGTTTATCAACCCTGCCATTGCAGCTACAAACTCGCCAAGGTTGTGCGAATGTAAAGGCACAGCAAATTTAGCGAATTTCATGAATGGCGAAGTCATCGATTGGGGTGGGTTTGCTCTATTAACATTCATGGCCTATCCACATTCAGCTTCGTTTTTCTTACACAACGTGTGTAATCTTTATACTAGGCTTGTAAGGACCTCCATGTCTGACCAACACAGCTTCTGAGAGTTGGGACATGCCAGTTTGTAAGAGCCCACACTGCCGTATTCAGAAAAATGGACGGTATAGTAAATGTCACGTAACTTCGAACAAGGCCAAGAGTAACCTTGAATGCACAGAAGAAAAATTTCAGACAAGAGTGTGGAGGGTGTGAGAAGTGACAGGCGGCCAGTGGAAGAACGAGTATTAAGAAACTCCTCCCACCACAAGCTATGCGCGGGATTTGACTAGGAATGCGGGGCCTTGTTCAAAGTTACGTGACACTGTCTATACTACTTTAATGCGCAGTCTACCTGAAATTTTACACTACAGCATGCGGTCTAACGGAGCATTTGTCATAAGAAACAATGAACAGTGGTNTTGGAGAGGGTGGGTTTCCCCATGCACCGCGACCAGTTTGATCTATTGTGCTTCCCTCTATGATATTCTATCAGTCTCTATACCCTACCGATAAATGGCGCGTACCATCAGTCCCGCCGAGCAAGCGAGTTCGGCCACTTGCTTAGCGGTGTCTATAATGCTTCCCCCATCTGTCGGAGGCCCTTAGAGACTATTGTTGGGCGGGAAACGTCCTGGAATTTGGCTCAGTGATCCCCTTTGGGGATATGAGGTTCTTTTACGTGCCGTAAAGTTACGACACGGGACACACGGCTTAAAGTCCCTCCCGGAGGACTTGTTCCCTGAATCTTTCCGCCCTTAAAAATTCGACGACCTCCGCCGGGTATTTGAACCCGCGTACTACGAGTCATGAGGTGGGAACGTTACCTCTAGACTAAGGAGGCCGCCTAATTATTGAATTACGGATAATCTTAAGAGAGAGGAAGATACAGGAAGATAGAAAGAATTACATAATGAGGAGCTTCATGATTTTACCTACCAAATATTCTTAAGAGCCGGGATAACATAGTCTCTATAGCGAGAAGCTACAGGCTGGACGACCGAGGGGTCGGAGCTCGAGTCCCGGTAGGGCCAAGAATTTTCACTTCTCTACATAGTTCAGACCGGCTGTGGGGGTCCACCCAATCTCCTCTCCAGTGGATACCGGGGGTGAAGCGGCCGAGACGTGAAGCTGACCACTCACCTCCAGCTAGTGCGGAGATCAAGAAAATATGGATCTCTACATCCACTTTCCCATAGCCTTAATGGCATAGTGCTTAATTAGTTAAGCGTAGGGACAATTTTACCTTTTTGCCATTTTTTTTATTGCTAGTGGGATGGGACTAAGTCCCTTGTACTGCGGCCACATCTGGCCTATTGTACCAGCCCCAGATGATAAGTGAGGGTGATTGTGGAGCAATTGGTGGAATGAAGATTGGCAGGGGAAACCGAAGTACTCGGAGAAAACCTGATCCAGCGCCTCTTTGTCCATCACAAATCCCACTTGACCAGACGCGGGATCGAACCCGGGCCGCCGCGGTGGGAAGCCAGCGACTAACTGCTTGAGCTATGGCGCGGCCTATCTTTTTACCTTACCAAATATTCATAGAATTTCGCTTGCGGACTACACGCCACGGAGTTTTTTTTTTTTCTTTTTCGTTACATGCAGGAGAATGAGATAATCAGGACGTGCAGATGAGGAACTTTAGTAGGAAAACCTAAAGAGAAAGCATTACTTTGGGTACCTTGGCTTAATAGATTGCAGGATAATATTAAATAGGTCTCAAGGAAATATAGTGTGAGGGTGTGAAATGAATTCATGTGTCTCAGGATAAGGTTTAGTTTGCAAGTACAGTAATGATCTTCTGTCTCCGAAGAAGGGGAGGATTTCTTGATCAGAGGAGACACTCCTTGCTTCTAAAGGACTCTGCAGTAAGGAGTTAGTCACGACTGTAACTCACATGAAGATGACGACGGCCGGAGCTGTGAGGCCGCCTCCCAGCAGGAAGAAGGCTCCAGGTACAGAGTGCATTGTGGCTGCGTAAACTGCGCTGTACATGGGCCCGTACACCAGAGGCATCAGCGCTTCGCAGACACCGAACAGAGAGTTCACTTTGCCTGTGGGGGAACACACACAACAGCGCCACTTGAATCATTGCTCGTGGCCTTCCACTTTCTTACGGACTTTCAAGAATTAACGTCAGAGTATTATATCTATGAACTGCGGCATCAGGAGACGTGTGTGTGTGCAGCTGATAAGGGAAGAAACCATTAGGAAAACCTAGACGTAGGTGGGTGGATCTTAAAATGGATCTTAGAGAGATAGTATGGGGTGGTATGGACTGGATTGATCTGACTCAGGATAGGAACCAGTAGAAGGCTCCTGTAAATATGATATCGAATCTTCGGGGTCCATAAAATGTTGGGAAATACTTGAGTAGCAGAGCGACTGGAAACTTCTTGAAAAGGACTCAGATCTATGGAGTTAGTGGGAGTGTATGTTGTTTCATGTAATTACACAGGGTTTGAAAGTGTGTCATTGTGGTGGAAAAAGATGTAATTAATTCACTGCTTCCGTAAAGAAATAAGGGAACGAGATAAAGGTATGACAGGGAGGAAGAAAAGGAAGAAATAAGATTACGGATGGAGCTATGAAAGAAATGACTCCTCGTTTAGTGTTAACTGATATTTATACTAGCATTGCTGGTCTCGGTAGCCGAGCGGCCTATGGCATGGATGTCTGATGTGTGTGTGTGTTGATTCTGTGTTTAGGTAGAGGCCTTGCGACGAGCTGATCACCCGTCCAAGGAGTTCTACCGTCTGTAAAAATGATCATGAAACTGAGAAATCAGTCCTGTGCTTCTAAGTGGGAGCGAAGAGGAAAACATATATACTAGTATTCACGTAATGAAAACGGTCTCTGCATTGAATTCAAACACCGAGGCAGGAGCAGGATGTGAGCAAGTTTTTCGCTTGAAGCTAATGCATATAGGTAATGTAGTATCTGTCCTCAATATCTTTCTGCGTATTTTGCAACCACACTGTTTATCGGATTTAAATTCCGTTCGCATCTCTTCAGTACAATTTGGTTTATGAACCTCAGACGGAACATCAACGCTCAGAAACGGATTAAAAGTTAAAAAGTAAAGTTATCCCTGTAACAGGCCGTGAAGGCCCATAGGGTTGTGAGACGTTGAGGGTCCCACATTATCTAGGCAGTCGTCTCAAAGATGGCGGTAAAGTTCTCAGTCTTACGCACCGGCAGCCCTTTACCCCCAGGAAGATTTCTGGCCCTCATTTCTGTTACAAGCTGAGTGGACCACAGGGTCATAGAGCGGCTGCAAAGATAAGTCAATGACCTCATTGCGAATCGAACCAGCATATTGCCTCAACCAACTGTGCAACCGCGAGCCCCCGAGAATGTCCAAACACCCTCGTATAATCTCCGTTTAAAATGACTGAAAAGGAATACCGTATTTACGCATGTATAGGCCGCGTGCGTGTATAGGCCACAGCACAATTTTCAGACAGAAATTATAGAAAAAATAATTTTCTTGGAATATTATTTTAGGAGTATTACACCCTGTATTACTAATTATGAATATATTTTTTTTAAATGAAGTGTGATTTCGAATATTTCGAATATAAGCCGCACCCCAGTTTTCCTCTTGAATTTTTGGCAAAAAATGTGCGGCCTATACATGCGTAAATACGGTATTCCGATAGAGAATATACATTTTCAAATTACGTTATTTACTATTCTGTATATATTATTGACCTCGTTATTAATTTACTTCGGAAATAAATGTTTTGTTCTGACGTCAATCGTGCTGCAGGTATCACTCCGTACAGCCAGAAGGTATTTGTATATTCTACAGAGTTCTGACGTTGGTGTATTCCGAAAGGTATTTTTCCTGATAAACAATCATTATAGTGGAGTTGGATTTGGGGTCCTCACAGTTCTGTTCTCTGGGACATAACGTCGTGCAGCCCAGAAAAGTCAACCGACATTTTGAATGATCATATAGGCTCGATCTTCAGGGGCGAATAGTGAGCCAAATAAGAAAGCAGCATAAAGCAGACAACAAATAGAACACTTCTCCCATAAGCGTACATTAACTTTCACTGGACTGCACGGCGTTATAACCCACAAAAGACAGCACTTAACACTGGAAAATATTTCAAATAAAATTTTCCTGTGGTAATCCGTTTCTGGAGCCGGTCACGGTAGCCGAGCGGTCTAAGGCATGCACTGTCTTCGCTGGCTCGGAAGCCGGGATCGTGGGTTCCAATCCCACTCAGGGCCTTCACGGCCTGTTACAGTGATAGCTCTATCTTTCGTCTCGCTAGGCCATTATCATTACTTTGTCAGAAGTTGCATGCGTAACGCGGTTACGTAACCGTCTAATGAGGCCGTGCCGTAGCTCAAGCGGTTAGTCGCTGGCTTCCCACCACGGCGGCCCGGGTTCGATCCCGGGTCTGGTCAAGTGGGATTTGTGGTGGACAAAGTGGCGCTGGGGCAAGTTTCCTCCGAGTACTTCGGTTTCCCCTGCCAATCTTAATTCCACCAATTGCTCCACAATCACCCTCACCTATCATCTAGGGTTGGTACAATAGGCCAGAAGTGGCCGCAGTACAAGGGACTTAGTCCCACCCCACTAGCAATAAAAAAAAAGTGCAGTGATCTCGGCAAACAAGAGAGATACATCTTCCATAATGTCGTAATTTGCGAGAGTGATAATTACGTACTCAATGTGAAAACGTTTGTGTGGTCTTCTTCATTGTGGTTTGTTACTTATTCTAACGCCGTTTAAGAGTTCTGTTCACCGAAAAAATATGAAGCTTCTTAAAAATATTGTACCTTGTTTGAAAATACGGTACCATTTTGGAATTCGCTCATTTTTCAAGTTTATTAAACCGGCTACATTTTGATCTACTGAGACCCCAAACAGAGTAGGTTCAGTTTCATGCATTCTTCACTTGAAAACGGAAATGGAACCAGCTTTCGAAGACTGAAGTTTTAATGTTCAGGGGCGATGGTCGATGTCCAAAGTAATAAAATCGATGTAATCAGGGTTCACATATCGTAGAATTCGGAGCATAATGATCATAAACGTATTCAGAAAGACCAATAAAAACAGTATACACAGCAAACACCGTAAATATGAAATTATTATAAAACAGGAGGAGAATGGTTAATGAAAACAAAATGGAATTTATGAACATAAGTGTAATAAATGCAGCGAATTATAAAGGGCGAAAAGAAAGAAATTATAAGGCAAGATACGAGTACTATGGCCCTGGGTCGATCCAGCCTCTAACACAAATGAGTACCAGGACTCTTCCTAGAGGGTAAAGGGCGGCCGGCGCGTAAGGCTGACAGCTTCACCGACATTTGTGAACCCATCGTCTAGAAAATGTAGGAAGCTCGACGGCTCACAACTCCATGGGCCTCCACGGCCAGTTATAGGGATAGCTTTACCCTAGAGTACTACTGAGGGTCCAATGGAAGCTAGTAGAGAGGTCGATCTGCCAATAACCGCCGAATAGAATTATTCTTGTCTCTTCAGTAGAGCTGAAATCAAATTCATAATATGAACACATACTCTCGAAATGTGTCAAAGTTCACATAGTTCGGAACGACCCTAGCAGATCCAAATGCGTTTAAGGAGAAATGAAGAGCAGATTAAGGGACTGCTGCAGTTCTGTGGAGTATCATTCGTACTTCTACCTGTTGTAGTCTGGTAAGCAAATACCAGCGTTTCGGAGGAATATAGTGCCTGCCTCTTCGGGTTTCCTGATACGTTTATACCCATTGACCAGACCGCAAAGACCACAGACAACGAACACCATTCAGCCTTGAAATCCTGAAGTCTTGTTAACTGTTGTAACAGTTCTGTTACTTGTATGAAATGTAAAGTAAAAAACAAGTTCATTTCGAAGTAGTTGACTGATGCAGACTGTAGATGATCTGATATTTTTATTTTAAAATTTAAATACTTAACATCATAGCTGATATTTGTGGTATTTTCCGGTTATTTAAATGTCTGGATGAAGTCAGATACAGCTGAGAACTGATAAGAGTTCCTCAGAAATCATTCAGACTCTTCCGGCTTGTCTCACAGATGGCGGTAAGGTTGTCAGCCTTACGCGCCGACCGCCATTTACACCCCAGGAAGTGGGGGTTAGTTTCTGTTAGAGGCTGAGTCGGCCCCAAGGCCATATTGCGGCTGGAAGGATTAGATAAATTGCAAATACCCAATGACCTCATCGGGAATTGAACCCGCGAACTTCCGGCTTGTATCATAGTGCCTCAACCAACTACGCTGCCACGTGCCCTCACGCAATAGCGTAGGGTTGATTATATGGAGAGATATTAGGATGATTACATTGCAAGTCGGGACAGCGTAGTCGGTATAGCGACTAGCTACGGACTGGACGATCGAGGGGTCGGAGTTCGAGTGCCGGTGGGGCAATAGTTTTCTCTTCTCCTCGTCGTCCAGACCGCCTCTGGGGTCCACCCAACCTCCTATCCAATGCGTACCGGGAGCTCTTTCCCCATGGGTAATGCAGCCGGAGCGTGAAGTTGACCACTCACCTCCAACTGGCGCCGAGAAATATGGATCTATACATCCACGGGGACAACTTTACCCTTTTCATTGTGGAGGCGTATGTAAGTTGCACTGAGCTGTCAGAATTCAGCGGGTTAAGGTAATTAATGCCCTCGGATAAAATAACCACAGTTTAATCCGGAAATATTCACATGCATTGGATGGATAAATGAGTGATAGTGATACACTCGTATGGGTCCATTGCGTGGCTCTGGAACCGCAAGCATAACGATTCTGCTGGAAGTTGCAGCATATAGGCTTCTTACTTTATTGACCACTAGCCTAATTCATATTTGACCTTGTAAAGTGAATTGAAGGGGACACGCGATAGTGTAATTAGTTGGGGTACTATGATACAAGCAGGAAGATCGCGGGTTCGATTCCCGATGAGGTCACTTTATTTTTCGGTTGACCTAGTTCTTCCAATCGCACTATGACCCTGGGGTTCATTCATCCTCTAACACAAATGATTACGAGGAATATTCCTGGGGTTAAAGTGTAGCCGGTGCATAAAGCTGACGACCTCATCGCCATCTGTGAGCCGACTGTCTAGAAAATGTTTGAGCCTCGACGTCTCACAACTCTATGGGCCTCCACCGCCTGTTCTAGGGATAGCTTTACCTTAAGTAAATTAAGGAGCAGTTTCGGTAATGAATACATTTCTTTCAACGTTTTGTTGTTTCAATAATAGTATTATAAATTGCGAAGATCTGAACAGCTGTTCATAGGACCTGAACCAGCTTGCGGCATCTCGGTAGGAGAGTATTGCTAAATGAAACGGCAGATCAGCTGGCAAGAACAGGATCTGAACAACCGTTCACAGGACCTGAACCAGCTTGCGGCATCTCAGTAGGAGAGTATTGCAGGCAACGAAACCGCAGATCAGCTGGCAAGAACAGGATCTGAACAACCGTTCACAGGACCTGAACCAGCTTGCGGCATCTCAGTAGGAGAGTATTGCAGGCAACGAAACCGCAGATCAGCTGGCAAGAACAGGATCTGAACAACCGTTCACAGGACCTGAACCAGCTTGCGGCATCTCAGTAGGAGAGTATTGCTAAATGAAACGGCAGATCAGCTGGCAAGAACAGGATCTGAACAACCGTTCATAGGACCTGAACCAGCTTGCGGCATCTCAATTGGAGTTGCCAAGAAAGCGACCAGGGACTGGACAAACAGAAATCACAAAAAACACTGGGAATTCACAACTGGACTCAAACAGGCAAAAAGATTTATGTCAGGACCCTCTGCCAAAAGAACGAGGGACCTGTTAAAATTAAACAGAGACCAACTGAGATGGGTGGTAGGACTACTTACTGGGCACTGCCACCTAAAGGGGCACCTTTCCAAACTGGGGCTGACAGAGGGCCCAACCTGTGAAAGGTGCCTACAAGAAGATGAATCAGGCACACACGTCTTATGTGATTGTGAGGCTATAGCTTACTTAAGATATCGCCACCTGGGTCAATTCTTCATGGAACCAAGTGACTTTTATGACGCCCCCGTAATCCTACATTTCATTCGAAGGGTAGGATTAATAAAGGGTTAATCCAAAGGGGAAGCACAATAGATCCTTGAAGGCCTCAGTGCGAGGGCCAGTTTTATGGCTCATCCCTCATACTCATACTCATTTCTAAACATCCAATTGTATCTGACCTCTTTGTATCTTCTTAGGGCAACGGTGATCTCGCCTTAACAGTTTCTCCAAAATAAAATTACTATCTAGAAATCATATAATGTAATTAATGTTATCCACTGCATTTTTTTTTCGAATTTATAATAATTAAAATTGCTAATTGCAAGAATAATGCCGACATTTCGGAGGAACATCGGATCACACAAGCTGTACAAGGCGCCACATCCCAGAAGACGATATTTTTCATAGTTATCCCCGTGGAAACCTCAAATCTTACACTAAATACATTCTCTGTTAACTCTAATGCGCAAATAATTACCCTGAATCTCCTTTCGCTTCAGTTAGAGTCGATTGATGGTCAAAATATACAAGATAAATAATTTTTAATAAAAATAATTATTTTTATGTTGTATTTTATGGTTTTATTTAAAGTGAACCTGCAGTTATATACACGCAGATAACCGTTTATTTGCCTGCTGCATTTCCGTAAGGGAATAGTCCGAAACACTGCGATGCTTTATCATCAGTCGCTTTTCAATTTCGCTTTAGAATAAGCCATTGGGAAGGTAGAAGAAAATCAAGATTAATTCGGATTGAATGACATGCACACTATCTTCGGTCTATACTGACGACGTTATTTCATGGAGCGAAAACACTACATCATTAAGAAAAAGGCAGAAAATCTATGAGACATTAATAAGAAGATAGAAATGAAAGAAGAGAAAGTTAAGCGGCTATTTTTTCATGTCTCATCACCAGAGTATGTGTAAGATTACCTTCACAATGAACGTAAGAGGAGGTTAAATTAGGGTAACGTCTGGAGGCACTCATTTCGGACCACTCAATTTCGAGGACGCCAACGAAATGCAAGCCTTGATACTCTCAAGCAGCGCTTACCTAGTTCGTCGGTAGGAACAAGTTTTGAAGCGATAGACCTCATCGCGATAAACGACGTTCCGTTTAAAATCTCCACCAATGGTGCTGCAAGAAAAAAGAATACGTTGTCATTGAAATATGTTTTCTTTTATTTTTAATGACACGTTGTAAATAGAAAACAGCAGTTGAACACATTGATCTTATGGTCTAAGGTGGGTACGGTGTCGTGGGGGGGATCGATCACTGGGATCTTGAATTCGAATCCTGCCTAGGCTGGGGCCACAAGAGCGTACAAAATGTGTCCGTTGTAGAAATAAACTGGAGGCGAATGCTACGCTTTCTTCTGACTCCATTGCAGACAATAAACTACGCACCGCATTCTGCAACTGTGGTGTGTCCTCAGCAAAGTCCGTCATAAAGTACGTTCGTTGCAACGAACGTACTTCGTGTGCTCGTGTGGCCCCAGCCTTAAGGCATGTACGAGTGTATATGCCTTTATTTCATTACGTTTTACTATATCGGTGGAAACCTCGCAGTGGCTGGCCCACTATCCAGTGAATCATGGCAGATGTATAAAATATTCTTACTGTCAGAATTGCTTCTGTTCGGAACAGTCGCAGAAGCTGAGGAAGAGCAGAAGAAGGTTGATATGATAAAATGCAGAATCGATGTAAGTTTTCTTCTTCTGTGTTCAGCACCAAAAAGTTAACTGTGTTATCCGAATTTATGTCACCAGAATTATCTTATTAGCTGACCCATGAAGCAGAGTCATTCTTGAGAAACTGACAGTCGCTGTGTTAGTGAGTATAAATAATATTACCGTTGGGAACACAGCATTACAAGTAGTATGAAATCAAATATTTTATACGACCTACCAAATTTATTTTAGAAGTGTTACACGATCCACATTGTGGTGTGATTTATTTAACGACGCTCCGTAGCTCGGACTAGAGAAGCGTCGAATAGTAGGATGAATGTTGAATAATGAATTGGAAAGAATTTGGAAGGAAGCGATCTTCGCCAGTGAGGTACTTCACCGATGTTTACCTGGAGAGGCTTGGGATAAAAATATATGTGGTGTTAACCGACGTTTCGGAGGAACGTATTGCCTCCATCTTCAGGGTAGAAGATGGAGTCTGCTTTTACCGGTTCTCACGGTCTCTCCGCTTGCAGATTTCTTATATTTTTTCTTCTACCCTGAAGATGGAGGCGATACGTTCCTCCGAAACGTCGGTTAACACCACATATACACGGTGCCAAATCCCAGAAGACTGCTTTCTTAACAGTACATTTTGCTTTATAAAAGTTTAGATACACAAATAATTTTTGCCATGCTACTAGCATACTTGTATGTAACGTGGATGTTTATGTACCCAAATATATTTGCCAGTCGGTGGTGCTGAATGCATACACGAAACTTGCCAGAATCTTGCTTGTACAAGACATGACTCCGATCAGGGCGTCATCGATCTTCAGAACATGGCTGAACACACACACGGACACCATGGTACCTGGAACAAAGCAGAACATTCAGCAACCGGTAGGAATTCTCCATTGCCAGAGGTATAATTGAGTTTCTATGCACGACATTTCGGGAATGGCTGTACTCTCGTTTTCAGAGAAAATTTGCAGTAATGCTGAAAGTTATTTTATTATTTACTACCTGATATATCCATCGTAGTCCAGGCGCAATGCACACGCATAACTGGGAAGTGTAAGACATTGACAAGCCGATCACATTGGCCGAGTGAAAGTGTTTACCGAGCCATTGCCTAGCAACGATTGGGGCATACACATACAGACCCACAGACTCTCCATTGATTACGAAACGGACCCTACATGGAAACGACTCTTTCAAGAGTTCTTCTATTGTTGCGTGTATTCGTTTCCATGGGAACGTCTTTACCGAACCATTGCCTAGCAACGATTGGGGCATACACATACAGACCCACAGACTCTCCATTGATTACGACACGGACCCTACATGGAAACGACTCCTCCAAAAGTTCCTCTATTGTTACGTGTATTCGTTGCCACGGGAACGTCTCTAGTGAGCCATTGCCTAGCAACGATAAGCGGAGATACACATACAGACACACAGGCTGATGAGGGGGATTTATGAATTAAGCCGTTGAGATGGGCTTAGGTGCTATGATATGTCATCATTAGGATCATCAAATCAAGGAAAGTGAGGGGTGGGGGATAAGAAATGCATACAAACAATGAAAAATGGAAAGAGACTACTTGAAAGACATAGGTTTAGGTAGGAAGATGAAATTTAAATCGATATCAAATAATCGATATAATAATCTGACTGAAAATGGGTGCAAATTGAGGGCCCTTGTGAACACGGTACTGAACTTTCAGCATTTCATAGAAGGCAAGGAATTTCTTGGATACCTGAGCGACTTTTAGTTTCTCAAAAGGGTCTACTCTGTGTAATTAGCTGTTATATGTCTCTGTGGCGGGGCCGGTAAGTTGTTATTTGGAAGGTTGCAGGGCTGTATTGCGTAAAGGCGTGTCTACACAATTTAAGAATTTAATGTTACTTCCGCCATAAATATGAGAGCACCCGACATCTCCTTGGTATCGTTACCTGTACACCCATTGCTAGGCAACGAGTGGTAAACAAGTTACCGCGAAGAGAAACTCTTGGTAAACAGTTGGTTGCTAGGTTAGTCAGCAATAGCGGGAGCTGTGCGTTCTGTGTCGTCCATTCCGCGCAGCAGTGGAAATAGCGGGGTTATGCAGCCCGTTTCCAGGCAGCGCCTCTGTAAACACAGTTCAACCTCAACAATACAGAGACTGTTTTTCTGCGTGGTCCGTGCCGAAGACTTATAAGAGAAGTGAATGCAATGGCATTCTCCGTGATTAAAGCAGCCGGAGCGTGAGGATGGCCACTCACTTCCTTATAGTGCCAATGTTAACTCCCCATACGTCTTCATGTCATGAATCTTAATTAATTAAACATAGGCACAACTTTATCCTTTTTTACATTTCAACTATGAGAATTAGACAGCATGTTCATTTTGTTTCATTCTATAATATTAACAGTGTTGTCATTACCAAAAGGCAATGCAAGCGTATCCGCCGGCATTTCAATGCTTCTTGCATCACTGCTGAGGTAAACCAGAATTGTCTTTTTTCTGAATTTTCATCGTACACATTTTTGATCTTCTCAAGGCTTATGTAGATATAAACGTGGTCACGATTTATCTGTACAAGGTCATTAATATGGCCTTGAAAAATGTGAAATAAGCGTTCCATAAGTTTCATTATATGCAAGAGCGTCTTATGCTGAGAACGAGAGGGCCTGCAGACACGCAATTCGAGCAGTAAAGATATGATTACGACCGCTGAAGAAAAAATTCAGTAGGGTGAGTTCGAGTGCATGCGGCAAGCGGATATGATTGTTTGTAGGAAGACCTCTCTGTCAGCTGGTGGCGCTGTGACCTCTGCTGTCATCTGCAGAGTTTGTCTGGACCTCCGAATGCGTGTTGAATGATGAATACTGCGTGGATGGAAGAACATGTTTGAGTGAAACATTATTGTTTTGAAGCTGGTGTTTTAAGATAAGCTGAAACATATATTTTTTTTAAATATTTGCAGTTTTGCAATGGGCCGTCCAGGGACTCCTACCGACTGTCTGTGAGATTAATAAATTAATAATTAGCTAAAACTAAATGAAAAAAAAAATGCCAGAGAGCATTATCTTTCAAGGTAGAAGAAGAACATTACAGTTTAAGCACATCTGCTTCACTGAATTGCCGTGTCTTGACTGATATTTGTGTAAGGAAAGCATTCTCACGTATTCTGAGTGACAAATGCATTAGTAGTAGACCGACAGTGACACCAAACGTTCTTTATCAGTGGATCAGGTCGGGTGAATAGGGTCACCTTGTGAAATTTAAAATTTTAGTCTTTGGTTTAGGCACTATCCTACAAGTCAGATGTCCGCGGTTTCAAGTCCCGATGAGGTCATTGGATTTTTTTTTCAATTGACCTAATCCTCCCAGCCGCACTATGGCCCTGGTGTCGACTCAGCCTCTAACAGAAATGAGTACCAGGAATATTCTTGAGGGTAAAGTGCGGCCCACGCGCCATCTATAAGTCGATTGTCTAGATAATGTTGGAACCTCAACATGTCACAACCCTATGGGCCTCCACGGCCTGTTACAGGGATACCTCTACTTTTTACTTTTTAATGAAGTTCACTTTTCTATATGAAATTCGCAGTAACATCCCTATTTCTATTCTGTGCAGTGGAGTAGCTGATGGATGGGAAAAGGTATAAATAAATATCTAAAAGCTTTCTGAGAAGGTAGAATCACCAGGCATTTAACAGAGCTTCTGTAAGTACGTACAACGTATATATCTGCGTCGCAGAATAATTGCTGAGGGCAATAGTAAGAAATAAAAGGGTGGCCAAGCCGTATTCACCCCTGATGAAGAAAGTAACCTGGTAGCAAGAATTGCACGGTCCTATTCACTCAGTGGCTTCTGAGTCAGTAGGACAAGGCATTTGGCTTTGCATAATTTGTTATATATTTCAGGTTGGAACAGTGTGTATTTATAGTGAAGGGCCAGCCTTAACGAATATTGCATTTGGATAGTCTTTGAAATACTGAGCATGGCATACCAGTTGATTTTTCTTTTGTGGTCCCTTTCATCTGGACTGTCTATACAGGGTCTTCCTAAAAGATTGGTGGGATTTCATTGCCGTATATCTCCGTCAGTTTTTGGTGATGAAAATGAAAACGCATACGGATTCATAACGCGGCTCTCAAATTTTAATTTTATATATCTTGTTCTTTCGTGCTTCCAATTCCGACAGTTAGGCGGCGTGAAATGTAAGATGGCGACCCAGCAGGAGAAGGCCTATTTTTGTTGTTTCCACAACTGGCCAATGATTCCAATGACTACATTTTCCAACAGGACGGTGCTCCCCCACATTTCCATGGCAATGTGAGAGGTTTCCTTAATCTGGTCCTTCCGCAACGATGGATTGGACGTGCTGAAGGTGAAGATGTCCCTCTTCTCCAGTGGCCACCTCGGTCCCCGGACATAACTCCGTGTGATTTCTTCTTGTGGGGGTTCGTGAAGGACATGGTTTATGTACCCCCATTGTCCCACTCACTCCAGGATTTCCGAAACAGAATCAATCGTGCTGTGGAGACCATCACACCTGAAATGCTGCAGCGGGTGTGGCAGGAATTCGACTATCGCATTGATGTGTGAAGGGTAACGAAAGATGCGCACATAGAGGCACTTTGATGGATATACATAAAATTTGGACCGTTAAACTTCCGATTGACACATGTTATGATTGTACACTGTGAGAAATACGAAATATATACGTATCTGGAACCCCACCATTCTTTTATGAACACCCAGTATATTACAAACCGCCGTCTAGCAGATTGGTGCCCAACAACGTCGGAAGAGAAACTTAGGAATCCACAGAAAGTCCTGAATTCAGAAGTAAAATCATCATTCTTTGAATGTAAGGGTGTGTGCTTTAAAGAATTAAATACCAATCTTGGAAAAAGAATGCATTTTCAGATGTTGGTAATAATCTACATTATGAATGTTTGTTTCACTTATAACTTACCGAAGAGGTTCGTGATCATGCCATACGTGGAGAACAGACTGAAGTCCACTTCATTCCAGTTGAAGCGGTAACGCGTAAATAGGTACATTACAGCCATCTCCCCTGCAAACAAGTAGAAGAATAACATTCAGTTGAAAGGAACGCTTCCTAGTGTAACGTTCATTTCAAATTTTGCTGAAAATTTGTTGTTATATTAGATCTTTACTAGCGTAATTTTTTTATTTTGAAAAAAATGAAAGAAAGCATATGCGATCTTCATGCTATCTGTGTGTCTGCCGATCCCCTCTCCCCATTGACTTTTCAATACCGGAACCAATCTTTATGAAAATTGGTCTGTATGTCATCTATCTTAGCGGTGTACTTCATAAATCGCTCCTATCAGTCTGTGTATCTGTATGTGTATCCTTCCTATTGTTTCTAAGCAACGGCTCGGTAAACACGCTATTTCCTTGGAAGCGTTCCTCAATTATCCTCACGAGGTTGAGTGGAATCGAACCCGGACCTCTCGATCTGTAGCCAGGAACTCTGACCACTTCACCACAGATGCGGTCATTAATTTATACAGCAAAGAACAAAAATCCGAAAACAAGACCTTGAGAAATCACTGACAGCTCCAATGAAGGCCGAAGAAAGAACTGCAGAGAAATGAAAAGAACAAGGTGCTTAAGTAACAACTGTTAAGCTTATCTAATACCACGTAGTGCAAAAGCAAAACAAATGCACTACTGAACTCAAAACAGATGGGAAAAAATTATCCTCGAGAACAGTAGGAGTGACGATGTTCTGAAAACGTGGCCACATTCATAGCAGTTGATTTTGTTTTGCTCAAATCATGTCCTTAAACTAATGGAAAATGTGTTCATGAATAACAGATTTAAATACGTTAGAAAAACACCCAAAATGGCAGTAGGTATTTAATTAAAAGGTAAAATTATCACAGTGCTTGATTGGGTAAACGCAATACCATGAAGACATTGGGGTTGGGTGGAGGTATAACTCGAATTTTCTTGACCTCGACATTAGATGAAGGTGAGTGGTAGGCTACATGCCCCTGCCTTTTTACCCCTCGGGAATGGGAGTAGGAGTGTGGGTGCTGCGGATATGCAGTGCCAGGAATTGAATATAGGTCATCCAGTCCGTAGCCCGTCACTATACCGACTCAGAAATCCCGACTGCCAGTGTCGCCGTTCTTAAGATGGGAATAATCAGTACCTTTCGTACATAGCTAACTTCACAGAGCTGAACCCTTCTTGAGAAGCCGCCAGTTGTATAGCTACTAAAGAACTTCCCATCATCTTGTGGAACCCGAAGGCTCATCACCGTGTTCACAAGACCGCTCCACCGGTCCCTATCCTGAGCCAGATCGATCCAGTCCATACCGCCCCATCCTATCTCTCTAAGGTCTATTTGAACATTGTCCACCCACCTACATCTTGGTCTTCCTAGTGCTCTCGTTTCTTTTGGTTTTGTCACGAATATCCTATATACATTCCTCTTCTCCCCATTCGTGCTGCATCCTCTTCCCATCTCATCCTCCTTGCCTTGATCATTCTAATTATACTTGCAGAAGAGTATAAGTTATGAAGCTCCTCATTAAACAGTTTTCTCCAATTTCCCGTCCCTTCATCTCTCTATGGTCCATATATTCTCCTTAGCACCATGTTCTCGAACACTCTCAGTCTGTGTTCCTCCTTTAATGTCAGAGATATTTCATAAAGTTTCGCAAGCATATAGAATTACAAACAAAATTATAGTTTTGTATATTCTAATTTTTTGTTTTTAAACAGCAGACGAGAAGACAAAACCTTCTGCACCGAATGGTAGCAGCCTTACCCAAATTCAGCGTCCTCTTAATTTCCTCCTGAATCAAGTTTAGATTTGTTACTCTCATTTCCAAATATCTGAACTGTGCCATATCTCTGCCTCATGATTTTGCCCTGCATTCTCTTGACGAGCCAGTAACATATATTGTACTTATGACCCTTCTTGTGAACTTGTACAATGATAGACTCCTTCCACTGATCAGACATTTTTTTCTTATTCCAAATAGAGTTAATTAGCTTATGGGTCTTAGAATGTAACATTTTACCTCCTGTTTGAATAAGTTCTGCCGGGATTTGTTCACTAGCTGGCGATTTATACCTTTTCAACTTTGCAATAAGAATTTCAATTTCAAAAGGACTAGGACTAGGTACTAACAGTTTATTTGTATTTTCACGTGTAAGGGGGTACGCATTACGAAATGGCGGTATCTAGTTCAGATGATTGGATTTATTAACACTTTCGTTACAACCCCTTTTAATTACACTCAAATTACAGCGCTATCGGTGATTTACACACTTCCCAGTTCACTGTTCCACACGGACTAGGATTCTATGTCTTCCACCAGTCGTCTCCTAGCAACGGATCTCCACACACAAACTAGCGCTTCAATTCACTCCAAGTATTACACATAACTAAAGTCTTTCATTCACACGACGAACTTTCCGTGGCTGTCACTTAAACGCTTAAACACTCTCACATACACCCAAATGTCGTTATACACGTATAACTTCCGCACTGTACACACAGAAAACAGCCTATACTCGTATTGTTGGAACGTGTATACCGAGCGATTGCATAGCAACATTCGCGGCACGGACTCCATAGAAAACGCTGCACTCTCACTGTTGCCTTGCGTGTATTGTGTCGCGAGGTGTTTCGCGGTCAGTTACCTAGCAACGCTGTGTCCATCCACGTTACGTTATGTATTTACATCTGCCTAATACCACTGACCCTACGTACATTCAGTAACTGAGAGAAGTAGTTCCTCCACCTATTCAAAATGTTGTGGGAATCTGCAAGCAGATCACCATTCTCATCCTTCACTAATTTTTTTTAGCGGCCTCCATAGTCTAGGGGTAACGTTCCCACCTTATGACTCAATGTACGCGGGTTCAAACCCGGCGGAGGTCGTCGAATTTTTAAGGGCGGAAAAATTCAGGGAACAAGTCCTCCGGGAGGGACTTTAAGCCGTGGGTCCCGTGTCGTAGCTTTACGGCACGTAAAAGAACCTCATGTCCTAAGGGGACCACTGAGCCAAATTCAGGACATTTCCCGCCCAACAGTAGTCTCTAACGACTCTGGTAGATGGGGGAAGCATCTAGATACCGCCGAGCCAGTAGAGGCCGAACTCGCTGGCTGAGTCGGGACTGATGGCACGCACCAGTATCGGTAGGGTATAGAGACTGGTAGAATATCACAGGGGGGCGTACAATAGACCACTGGTCGCGATGCATGGGGAAACCCACCCCCTACAATAATAATAATAATAAGTTTTTTAATTTTTTTATTGTTAGTGGGGTGGGAGTAAAGTCCCTTGTACTGCGGCCACTTCTGGCCTATTGTACCAGCCCCAGATGAGAGGTGAGGGTGATTGTGGAGCAATTGGCGGAGTGAAGATTGCCAGGGGAAACCGAAGTACTCGGAGAAATCCTGCCCCAGCGCCACTTTGTCCACCACAAATCCCACTTGACCAGACCTTGGATCGAACCCTGGCCGCCGCGGTGGGAAGCCGGCGACTAACCGCTTGAGCTATGGCGCGGCCCTAATATGAAGTTAGGACAACGGGTAGAAGTGATGGAGTGATTAAGGAAAGAAAGTTCACAAACAAACGATACGTTATGTCACGTGTTAAGAGATTGTACACAGCTTGTATTGACTACTGATTTTATTGAATGCTCAGTCCTCGAAACTACAAGTAATTATAATTTTCTCACTAATGTACACAATCTGTAAGTGCAGCTGTCAACAACTGTTATTGGAACTCTTCATTGCTTGATAGCGGCTTCTAGCAGTGGGAAGTCGGCCTCTAATTGACCCAGGCGGATGACGACGCGTCGAACCTGGATGGCTTCAACTCGAGTTCCAACTTCTATCATCTTAAGTTTTCAACTCGCGTATTGGTGTGGTCTCTTTCAGGCTCTTTCTTGCTTGTGTGTCTGTATTCTTTCATGCGATCCACATATCGCAGGGTGTGTAGAGAGTATGGACACGAACTCATGGCCGGACTAATCGTCACTATCATACATATTTTGGATTTCTCCCTGATGAAGCAGTCTCGGAGCACATGGGTGAGCTTGCTGTCTCGAAATGGGATATGAGCAGCATTCCTGCCAACTGCCCAGATACACTCCTTTAAAACTATCAGCGACTTCCTAATCACCGCATCTTCCATCCTTGTCTGCTTGTTCGCAGAGGACATACCTGCTTCCGTCTCGTTACCCACTAGTTCGACCAGTGATAACCTGCCATGATCACGTTTAACGCCAGGTGACCGCAATACAATCTGGAGTATTGCGTGAGACCGTGGAGAATTGGAGTTTGCCAATGTCTGCCTTGATATTCTAGCAGTGTTACCGTGCCGGATAAGTTCATGGAGCTCATCCACTGTGTCGACTGATTTTTCAGTGAGCTCTACGATCTTCACTCGTTGCTTGGTGTCAAGAACACGCAGTTTGGCTTTCTCCTCTAACAAATCGAAGACCTCACCCTTGTGGATCTCAAAGAAGCTTGCATATACCATGAGGTTCAGGAACTTATATTTTGGTGACTTGAGGAACTTGAAGACATCTTGAGCTGCCATGGCGTAGATTGATTTCTGGCAGTCTCCTGACTCTCCCTGGAAGTAACTACCCATTGAGGACTTGTCAATTTCTGTCTGCTGGTATGCAAAACTTGTTGCCGTCCAACCCTCGAAGATTGTTTGGACTAGAGGCTTTGCTGTGTGTTTGTAAACTAAGTCATTACAACAGGATTCATCAAAAACGTAGTCAAATCTGAAATGTTTGTTGTCTAAGGCGTTTCTGAGATCCACTGTGGCTCTGGGCACATGTACAACAATCTCGTCTTTACTGGGCACCGAGATCACATCCACCTCGTTCCTGGACACCTCTTCCTTGTTAAGCGGCCTCTTTCTGATGCAGACTTTAATCTGATGGTCCCCTACCGGATCTGACTGTTGTAGCGGACGGAAATCAATAGTGTTGCGGTAGTTGCTGATCATAGCCGGAAAATCCAAATTTCTGTTTTCGTTATCCATTTTTATGTGAGCCTCCCTCGTT